ACGTGGAGCTTTGCCTCCAGTGGACTTACGGGCAGTCTGCTTGGTACGGGCCATGGCTACGACAGATCACCTGAAGAGGAAGAAGGATGGAAAAAAAAGTCAGATAATTTAGAAGTTTTAGATTTAAAAGTGCAAGATACATATTTAACATACAAAATTGTTAATAATCTAATTCTTTTATTAGTAAATAAATTATAAAAAAACATTTTTTGTCATTATTTACTTCAGAAAAGTAAGAACAAAAAGCCTTTTTGAAACTTCCATTCAAAATAAATGAAGAATTAAATATAGGTCATCGGATAAATGTACACTGATTTAAAACTTCACATCAATACGACAGACTTAACTCTTTAGTTTGAGTGTGTTGTAAAAATATCTGCATCAGGAGCCTCAGTTTTTTCAAGTTATACCCCAGGCAGCTTATGCAATTGCTGTAAAAACAACGACGGCAGAGATAACGAATCATAGCGGAGCTCTTTATCAGGTAAACCAATCAGATTCTGAATAGGCGCCCGTGGGGTGGGATGTTGTGAATGCTTTGACCAATCACAGCGCGGTGTTTGCTCGCTAAACCCCGCCCCTTGCGCATTGAACTTGGGTTCGTTCGTTTCCGCACACCGGACTCCGCGGTTGCGCACAAGTCTTGTTTTTTTATTCAGAATGAGCTATTTTAAAGGAAAACCGGGGCACCCCGCCCGCACCGGCTGCCCGGTGTCCGCAAACCAGCGCACCCAAAGATGATGGCTGGCTGCTGGCTTGAAGAATGTAAACGGGAAGGAAAAATCGTTGTAGCAAACGAAGAGGGTGATGAGAAAAACGACGGAAGAATATAAAAACCGCGGCACGAAAGTGGAATACACTTTTTGAGGATGATAGTAGACATGTCAGGGGATCAATTGATGAACAATATTTTGTCAGATGACCCCTCACTTTAGGCGCATTTCCGAGTCAAATTCGAGCAGAGCACAAGTGCTTTTTAGGTCCCTGACTCCCCGAGCAGCCAGATAATAGCTCGACTGCTTTTCTTTTTCACCGAAAATAAACGCATCAATTCGAAACTAGCACAACATTAAACGATAGATTGGAGTTTTATTCAAATAGTGATACTCACCTTCGAAAACTTAGTGAAAGATTGCAGCTTAAAAATGGGAATTTATTCTTGAGTCTCTAAAGCGTTGTTCTCGCTATAAAATGAAGGGAGGAAAAAAAAGGAAAAAGAACATAGGAAAGCAAGAGGAGACACGTTTCCCATGATGCATCTGGGACAAACATATTACATACATGCTGCAACATGACAAACAATCTCATGACCACACTCAGTGCCAACGTCGAGCAACAAGTTTTTATGATCATCCTGATTATTGACCTTTTTGGTTAGTTTTGGTAATTAGAGGAAGTTATTTTTTAATCACTGGTAACTATCATGGGAAGGGTCAAAAGCAACTAAACCACCAGTACTGCTCTAGAGTGAGTTTAAAGAGAGGGATTTTAAACGTTTCAGCCTTTTATTGCTTTATTTTTAGTTTAAATCGCTTTTTTTTATTAAATAGGATTAAAAACTAATTTTAAACAAACATTACAAAACTCCATTGTTGTTACTTTACATTCACATTTTAAATATATTGCCTCAATTGTGAATTAAGATAATTGTGAAAATCTTGTGTTTGTCAGAAAAAAACAATTTTACATAAGTTATTTATGAAGGCATTCCGCGGCGCTACTCCCTCCGTCCTGCAGGTGGCGCCACCGCCAGCAGCCTCCGTCCGACACCAAAGAAGAAGAAGCACGCTTCTGTTTTTTTTCCTTCCAACATGGCGGCAGCCAGGAGGTTGAAACGCGTGGCGGCCTCGCAGCCCGGCTTTTTAACGTTAAAATCGTCCGTAAACCCCGCAGACCTGGTCAGCGGTCGGAGGAAACGTGTGAACAAGAACAAGAAGAAAAGCTGGAACAAGCACAGCGACATAAACGACGTAGAGGAGTTCCTAGAGGACGTCAGGCACCAGGAGAGGACCACAGGGTGAGAGAGACCTGGAGCAACGCTGTAAACTTTAGTGGAAGCTGTTTGTCTTCATTTATTCAACCAGTGGTCTGATACAAGATAGTTTCTGATTATTTACCTTCAGCCGTCGTCTTCTGTCCTGTTGTCCGCCTGCACGGAGGATTTATGAAAACATTGCCTGTTTTAGTTCACATGTCTGTCTGTAAAATAACAAAATTCACGTTTAGTTGGGAAGTAGAAGTTGCTGCTCTTAAAAACAGCCACTAAAACTGAAAAAGATTGAAACCACATTTAAACTAAACAAGCTGATTACTTACATTAAGGTAATGAACTGCTGTATAAGGTTTCTGTAAATGTGTGTTTAACCCTCTGAACTCCAAACAGATTCTGGGTTTTATCATTTCTATCCACTGTGGACCCACTTCTATATAAAATCCTTCATCTCAGTGGAACACAGTTAATGTGCCACAGTTCCTTAAAACTAAAGTTCTTTGATTACTTATTTTACAGAAAGCCAGGAATCCACAATGTTTTCACCCACAGCTGTTACCAATACATCCAGACAAATGGTGGCTCCACGTACTATAGAGGTTTACCTATTTATAATAGTACAACCTCTTCAAACGAGGTGTTTTTCGGCGGTAAAATTATATTTCTCCATAGTGAATGTACCTTCCAACAATTTCAAAGTTGTCCACTTCCAAAGAGTAATTTCATTTATCAAGGATGCTGTCATTTATAGTTTTCTCTTAAATTTTCTCGCATGAATGCAAGAAGCTGCTGAGAAATAAAATAAATGTATAGCGTTATGTGATTTTAAAAGCTTAGATTTGGTTCATCTTATCGACACAATCACATGCCACAAACGATTAGTTCAAGGACCATTGGGATGTTGAAAGTCTGCTAATTATTTTTGTTTTTAAAGTTGATTAATTATGTTAAAAAAAAAAAAAAAAAAAAAAACTCTTTCAAATAAAGCATTCTTTAAAACCTGCAGACAGGTTTTGGGGTTCAGAGGGTTAAACACCAAATAAGATGTTGCTTCTATATGAGATATTTAATTTGTGTTCATTTCCAGAACTATTTTAGAAACCTTTTTTCCTTTTTGGGAATAGACTAGAGGACACCACCCATTTTTTGGTTGCCTTTTTAAAAAAAAAATTTAAACAAATAAAATGTTTTCTAAATCCAGCTTCAAATGATATATGAACAAACCTTTCTGTGAAAAAGCCTCTAAACGTAGATAAGAATAAAACTGGCAGGTTTGTTGGAGGTAAATGCTGCTAAACCAGAGATTTCTTTACCAGAGCAGGAGAAAAAGCTTTAAAGCTTTAATTTTTAAAGAAAATGATCTTTAAAGATAAACAACTATCATGTTATGGAGCAAAGTATCTGTACATCTCAAAAAGCAGTGCCAGAAAGTGTAAGAAAATTCTTTTATCTTTTTGCTTTTTTGCTTGTATTGTCTCGTCTGAACAAGTCCAGTGAACTCAGGCTGAAGCTGAGGGCCTCTCAACGGTTTTGAGTCCATTCTTATCGACATGAATCTATTTCTAAAGCCTCGTGTTTTATTGTGAAGGAGTTCCAGGGAGCATCATTGCTGACATAAATGTTCAATAATTTAATATAATTATGATACAACCAAATCTTTAATCTGACAAAAGCAAAAAGCAAAAATCTAAAAAGTTGGTTCCGTGACTAGAGGGTTTGCAGCTGCTTTTCTGTCTTTTCTATCATTGAAAATAAATATCTGGTGACGTTATTGGACTAAAAGACATTTGAAGACATCACTTGTCTCTCTGAATGTGCAATGTTTTGGTAACTATTATCAATTGTTGTTGTTATTTTTATTTAATTATGAAATAAACAACTAAACAAGTTGCTCTAATTTTTTGACAGATTAACTGAAATAATTGTCAGTTGTAAATAAAGTGGTTCAAATTGTTGTTTTTTCAATTCTAAATGGGACCTTTATGTTTTTTCAGGGGTCTGCTGTCTGAGAAGACAGACGACAGTTTGTTCTTTTTGGACGTCGGACAACCAAAGAAAGCTGAACAGACAGGTGAATATAGGATGTTTCTACCACCTACAGCAGCATTAAAGCACTTTCATTCCTTTAAATCCTTTAGTAAAAACAGTTTTTCTGCTTTTGAGCTTGTTGGTTAATGTGAGTGTATTTTGCTGAAGCAGAAGAACCCGTCGATGGAGGGAAGAGGAAAGGAAAAGGGTCGCGTCCTCTGAGGATAGACCTGATCCTCCAGCACGACTCCCTCGTCCCACCGGCCAAAGAGTCAGTATCAGTCACAACTCTTCATCCTTTACTTCCTTTTTGGAAGACGAAACGGCATTATTAGCCCAAAATATCATTTTTCAGTTCTTATGTCGGCTTCAGTGTCAGTTTGACAGTCCAGTGCTTCAGTATTTGGTCATGGTGATATTTTAACAAGCAAATTAAAATGTAAACATAACTCCAGAATCTCTAGTTTTACTGGGAAACATGTTGGGAAACGTTTTCACAACATCTGGTGTTTTATCAACTTAAATGTTTATGCTCATCTGCCTGAAAGTGTCCTAAGTTGTACACATTTGTTTTCCATCTGTTACTGGAGTTTTTATTTAGCTCTTTAGCCAGTTTATTGGTATTAAGTTTGATACTGATGAGGCTGGCATTATCGCTTATAACAGTATGTTTTTATGTTCATCAAAAGGAACACTCATGCTAAATGTTTGGCTGCTAATCAGAGCTGGATAACATTTAAGTGTCTGTGGATGAGACGGCTTTGCAGACTGATGTTATATTCTGTCTGAGTTCTGACTTGACTGAAGAAATAGGTGGATGAAGTTGTTTTTTAACAGATTTCTGGAGCAGATTTGTGTTTTATGAATCTGTTGAAGCAGAAGTTTTTTTAAAAAAAATAGCGTTCTATGTATTTATTGTAATGTCTGCGGACTGTGTGTGTCCTGTGATGATCTCATCCTTGCGCTCCCAGTATTTCCTTTGTGGGAATGTGAAGACAACACACAGGAGCTCAGGACGCTGTTATGTGAACAGTGTCCTGGGATCTGAGGATGTACGAACACACACCCTAATGTAGCGCTGAACACGCTCTAACCTGCTCCATCATATGTGATTCAATTGATTCTTTTACATCCTATTTCTAAACACATTTAACCAATCATCTGCTCTGCCTCCCCCTCCAGTGTGCTGGCCTACCAGCAGCCGAATGCCAAGAAGCTCCGTCGCATCGCCCAGAAGGCTGAGCAGCTGGCGGCCAAAGGTGTGGTGCCTCGGAGGCAGAGACAGCTGCTGAGCAGACGGCCTGTTGACAGGACGGTCAAGAAGGCGGCGACAGAGGCCAACAACAACCCAGACAGAGGATATTACGACATATGGGGGCAAGAGTGTGAGTGGAGTCTGTGTGTGTCTGTCCAGGGATGATCCAAACCTCCCAGAGTTTCTTTAGCAGGACTGTGAGGACCAACGTGGAGCTCAGGTGACTGTTGTGTGAACAGTCATCTGGCATCTGAGGAAGGCTGTGTTACTGTTTATAGAGTTTAAGATCCATTAGTAATATTATAATTTATCACTATTCATTCTGTCAGTCTGTGACATTTCATTCAGGATGAGACTTCCTCGATTTGGCTCGCCTGAGCTCCAGCTCTGAAATGTTTGAAGGAGTGTTTTTGAAACCGTCTCATGCAGAGTGAAGAGTTCTTTGTTTTAAATCACGCCTGACAAAACCCAACAAGTTACTGTCAGAAGTCAGTTTGTACTCTCAGAATGGATGATGTGTAGTGTGAGCGCCACCTGGCACAACTAGGCAGCGCTACGGTTGTTGTCTGTCAGCTATAACATGCTAGCATGGTTAGCATTGACCTCTTGTTTCCACGCACCCTTTTCTTTATGGTCTGTGAAAACAATTAATTTACTGAATGTGCCCCCTGGTGTCAAACACAAGGAAATGCAGCCTTGTGAATGTCTCATTTTCAGCTTTTTATTTATTTTTTTTGCCGTCTGCTTTTATAAAATATGCTCATGGAGAATTTCCACAACGAAAACGGGACCAATCTGTTTCACCAACTTGATTTTCTAACCATCTGACACACGGTGCTGGACATTTAAAGTCCACCACAAAAACTCTAATTTTTCACACTGGAGACAAATTCAGGACAAAAAAAAAGAAAAGAAAATAGAAGGTTTCCCTGGAAATTAATACAATTCACACGTTGTCTTTTAATTTGATTTCCACAGAACTGGTTGAACAACTGACCATCAGGTTAACCTCATACTGAACAAACTCTGGTCGCTTCTCTCCAGTCATGGTTGAATTTAGGTTATTTAGGCAGAGTGTCCTCAGTGTTGACAAGAAAAGAGAAAGACGGCAACGTTGTTGTAGTTCTCGAGCAGAAACTGACTGTTGGCTCTGGTAGTTAATTGGAGTAAATTAAATGCCGTCTTAATGTTAGTTTACATGTGAGTGTAAACAGCTGAGAGGCTTTTCTTACTGATATTATGCAGGATTTAAGTGCCTGAACTTAATAATTCATTAAAAAAAAAAACAATAAATGATAAATGTTGTTACGAAAAATCTACAGACCTTTAACTGTAAACCCAGCGTACACACCAAATCACAGCGTCTGTGTTCCGTGTTTATTATGCGGTGGATCATCTGCAGGAGTCTGACGTGAGAACGCAATACGCTAAAATAATATTTTGGATGCTACATGTCATTAGTGACTAAGCTGCATTTTAGTTCAGGATGTTATCTGTGGCAGGGATCACACCTGAGATGTTGGCATGCTTATCTAAAGAGCTCTGTGCCACAGAGTCGCTGCCAGCTGATGTGATTGGAGGAATCCAAAGCAAGGAGCCACCAGAGTTGTATTTTATTTAACAATCTGGTGAATGTTGGCCCAGTTATTGGTTGCAGCACACAAGTCTTCATGTTTTCAGTCCAGTCCAACCAGATGGAGGAATCCCACAGAGCCGCCCAGCTCGCTTCCTCACAGCCCAGTTTTCTGTGCAGCTTAAAAATGTGAACTGTAGGACTTAGTTTTGTGCTTGTTTGCAGTCAGTTCTGAAAGTTAAATTAAAAAAAATATATGTTGTAATCTGTAGAACGACATGTATAAACCTGATTTATTCTCTTTTTTTTCTTTGACATGTAGCCAAAGATTCAGCCGATCCCTGGTACCTCCAACAGACGGGAAAGAAGCAGGTTAAGGTGAGAACAACAGTGTGGCTGATGTTGGACTCTTGGTTTGTGTGTGCTGGAGTTACACTAATGTGACTGTTGAACTGGTTAATCAGCGTCCAGAGAAGCTGCTGCAGAAGCCGTCTGTGCTGCCCGCTGTGGAGGTGATCGCTCCCGGAGGATCCTACAACCCAGACTTCTTCTCCCACCAGGTAACTCAGAGATCAGAATCAAACTCATTCAGCTGATTTCTAGTTATAGTCTGGCATCTGTTTGTGCCGTGTCTGTCTGCATTGTGACAACAGGAGTGAAACCAGGATGGCTAAAATATTTCAACAACCACAGTCTTGGACTTGGCTGCCTCTGGTGCTTTGGTTGAAGATGCTGATTGCAGCTGCAGTGACTGACTCTTTATTTCTCCCTCCTCTGTTCCTTCCCTCACTCTGTGAACTCAGGCTTTGCTTCAGGAGGCCCACGACGTGGAGGTCAAGAAACAGAAGCAAGAGGACAGAATAGAGAGACAGCTGGCTGTCAACAAGGAGGACAAAGCCACAGAGGTACAGATGATTATTCCGGCTCTCTCAGCATCTGTTGGTTTGTTCAGATGACAAGTTTTTCATCTGACATGCATCTGTGTGTTTTCCAGGAGACGGTCCTCCGTGAGCAGGTGGAAGGTTTGGTAGAGGAGGAGGACGAAGAAGAAGAACAAGAAGGAGCTTCTAATGACAACGAGGAGGAAGTGGTTGTGGGAGCGATCGCTCTGGCTGAGAAGAAAACGGAGAGACAGAGGAAGAAGGAGAAGGCAGAGAAAATTAAGGTGCAGACACGATGCTGAACACTCGTGTGAAAGCTTCAGAAATCAGCAGGTTCAGTAACTTCTAGAAGTTTAGATTCATACATTCAGAGCGTGGTTTGCACAGTTGCATCGTGACTTGTCACAGTGAGAAAGGACAGGTGCGTTAATCGTGGCTGCCTTTCTGTAGATTAGCTCGCTATCCTAGTTTACTGGGAACCTTTCTACTGCAAACTTGGGAACATGTCTGCTGCTGAAGTGGATCTACAGATGATAGCAGCTGGGAATGCAAGTCAAGTCGATGTGGACCTGAATCCTTCCACTGGCACTGAAAACATCAGAGTGATCTGAAAATGAAGCTAGATGTATTCATGTCAGCTTCCCAAAGTTTATTTATGACAGCCAGGAGGACCAAAAAAATGTGTTTTAGGTTTCTGATCACTGAAGTAAATTAATCAGTTAAATGATGAGGTGAGGGCTGACCTGAAGGCAGAGTCATTACGGGTCACACCACACGGACACGACTTGTTAAGCAGCAGATCACAATTAAATCCTGGCTGGGGACGATTTTCTGCACAGTACTTTCTAAATAACCCTGAATTATTAGTTAGATTTTCTATGTATTTGTCAGTAAAGTCAGTTTGTAAAGTTCCCGTTCACGCAAAAAAAAAGTTTTAGTCCAAGCTTGTTTCTTGGATCTGTGGGTTGAACATGAATGGATTGTTCAGTGAGGAACAAGGACTTGATGTCTTCCAACCACTTGAATGATCTTTTTTAACGGAAAAACAATATCAGGTGCAAATTACTGTTCAGCTTTAAGAGTTTATATCATTATTTTTTTGATCTTCAGTCATGCCTGGAGGACAGATATGTAGCATAAAGCCTCTTTGTTTTCTTTTATTCTAATGTATTGTCGACAACTTTAACATTTCAGAGCTGAAAGTTTTGACTTTTAACTTCTCACACCTGTCATAAACTAGCAAACACTCTAGAATTAAACAACACTGCAGCGTCTCTGGTTTTCAACAAGTGCTCCCAAGAACTTGCCTCGTTGCCAACGTTTCTCTTCCACTGAACATTTCAGGAGCAGCGCCGACAGGCCGACAGGAAGCAAACCGACCAGCAGCAGCAGCTCTTCCAGCTTCGCTCCATAAAGGCCTCCATCAAGCAGCAGGAGCAGAAGACCAAGACCAACCAGATCAAACGCAAAGCCAAGCAGGAGGCCGAGAAATCTCAGCCCAGACGTCTCGGCAAGCTCAAGTAAACGCCTCATACTCTTTTCACACACGGTCCTGCTGTTGGTGCTCCGGTGGTTTATTGTGAAGCTATGGGGCTCGAAATTGGTCACAGTTGAGAATAGAGAAAGATATCCTGATTGTAGCTTAAATGTTATTTTTTTGTTAGAGCCTCCTTACGGATAGTTGCCCGTGTTTTAAAAATCCTTCACCAGAGCAGGTTTTTATTATTAATTTAAAGTCTCTAAACTCGAGCCTAGACGAGACGATCAGGGTTTTTGTGTCAGACGAAAGAAATGTCTCTTCAGAGCAGCAGGTGACCTCGAACAACAGTTACCTCCATTCGAGTTCAGACCGCGACAGCTGGATGGATGTAGAACTGATCTGGTGTCAGTTTTCACTGATCTGGAGTCATTTTGGAGCAGTTTTGTCATTTTGTGAAGGTTTTGACTGGTTTCAAGTTGTTGTTTTATTTCCCCTTTGGTTGGATTTGAACAAATGTAGGTCAGGTTTTGAACAATTTTGGACGACTTCTTGTTAATTTAGTCAAGTTTTCAGTCATTTTGGACAAACTTGAGTCTCTCAGGACCGTTTGTGCTAATTTTGGATAAATTACGCGTCGATTTGGACACTTACTTTTTTCATTTTGGAAGTTTTTAGGCATTTAGGATAAGTTTTATGTATTAAGGACGGTTTTATAGTCGTTTTGGGAAACCTGTACCTGTTTCATGGTGCTGAACAGAAACCAGATTGAGTGTTCAGAGCTGATTTGCCGTCGGTGTCTAATCTCAAACCGGCTCTTCGCATTTTGAAGGGCAGGTAGATGACTTGTTTAATGGCTTTTGATAAACAAAGCTGCCTCCTTGGTCCTCTAAAGAAGTTCAGATTGAACATGAACAAGCTGAATGTTTGCTTTCCTTCCTTGTCGGCAGGTTCCAGCCTCAGGACCTGGAGGTCCAGCTGAGCAACGAGCTGGCCGGCTCCCTGCGACAGCTCAAGGTACTTCACTGTCACTTCTCTGTGCGAGCTCATCCACTCTGACCTCTGCCACTGAGGACGCACTTTATCTGTAATGAGTTTTGGTTGGTTTGGTTCATGCTTTATCTTCTGTATTGTCTTATTCTAAGCCTTATCCTGCTCTCTAATGCTGTGACGACCCACTTTCCCCACGGGGATCATTAGAGCTTCATTTGATCTAATTGCCACTTCTTCTCCTGCCTTTATGTCTTTGAAAAATACTTAAGTCAGCCTTTGTGGTGTGAATAGGATTTTATAATTTGGGTGGGAATTGTGTGTTGAGTCAGAGCAGAGTGACGCCTGTCTCACACGGATTAACTCGACTCCTTTCTCCTCCTGTAACGCCGCGACTGTGCAGCCAGAGGGCAGCATCCTCAAGGACCGCTTCAAGAGTCTGCAGAAGAGGAACCTCATCGAACCCAGAGACCGAGCCAAGTAAGGACCTCTTACGTAACAGAGGAAGCCCACGGTGATGGTTTAGCAGGTGTTATATCGACTAAAATCTCCACCTTCCCTCGTCTCTTAGGTTCAAGAGGAGACTCAAGGTGAAATATGTGGAGAAGAGGGCTTTCAAAGAGATCGCTTAGCGGCAACCAGCAGACCGCCGCAGACCGCAACAAGATGGACAACGTTTAAATCCACCAGAGCAACATGATGGAACTGTGTATATACAATGACTGACGATTACAACTGCTGACACATTGTTATGTCACCAACAACAACCGTTTATAAACCGTGACCGGATGGGAGTGTTTCATTAATCCGTCTTTTATATCAACTTCTCTCAGTTAAACATCAGATCACGTTGCGTAATGCGACCCGATCAAGATAAGGTTATCAAAGGTTGCGCAGCTTGAGCCTGCTGAGGCCAAGTGTCAGTGTGTCACTACTCTGCTCATACGCGAGTAAAGACGCTCAGCTTAGGTTAGTAACGGGCTCAGCAGCCACACTGCACAGTTATCGGTCTGGTTTGTGTCAACTATCAGCACGACTGCTCCTCGAGATGACGTCACCTTCACACACCTGAGCCTTGTAATGCAGCCTGTGTTTGCTGGAGAAAACGTGAAGGTGATAGCATCACACGAGCTGGTCGTATTTCATCAGGATTGCAGCGAGGCTTATCTCCAAAGTGAAATCTACCGCAGCAGAAACCTCCTTTCACTCCAATCTATCTCATACCTGCCGACTTCTTCTCTACATGCCAGGACTCCCAGATTAGCATAAACGTGAAGGGAGGCGACCATAAAACATGAAGAATAGATGCGTTTTTATTTCCCGTGATTAAATTAGCTGATTAAGTAGAGTTTAATTTACATATATTGATTTTATTTTTTTTTAATCTCAGGTGGGAAAAAAAACTCAGACAGATGGGCTTGAGGAAGTTGGCATGTGATAATTGATTTCAACCCGCTGGCTTAAAACCATAATTGCCTTCGGTGTCCTGCTGGTGTGAACGAGGACGTGCACGCTACACACACACACACCACGTCCCACAGAGCCTGGAGCGACGCCAAAGCTTCTTATCCGTTAATCAGTGTGAAAATGTAATCTTTTACCTTTCTCGTCTGCAGAAGCCCCCCCACCCAAGTAGCTGCCTAACTCATTTGCCTTCCTCCCCCCTCACAACACGAGCCTCCAAAGCACTTCCTATTTCAGTGGCTAATTAATGTTTTTAATCTAATTACCTTCTGATGAATTAACCTGGTGACTTGTAAAGAGCACAGTTTGTCCCCAAGGAGCATCCTCCATTAGGTTTAGGATTTAATGCAGAATACAGTAAATGAAGCGCTAATGATTTCATGCTCTTTTATTGCAACCCTCTACAGTCATCATGGTCAGCCACATGTCATGTTCACACAACCCCCTCCACGCGTCCATGGACGAAGCTGCAGCAATCAACACCTTGTCTTCTTCATCCGTAGCAGCAGACGTTTCTGGATATCTGTCTTTTCACTTCATCGTGGCTTTGTGCAGGAAAAAAACCTAATTTGTGGGTAATTGGATGCCACGGCAAATCTGTGGGGCTCCAAAGGGGTCAAAAAATGGAGAACAAAGCAGAAAGAGCTGCACACGGACTGACTGATGGATGTGGTCACCAGGATGTCACCAGTTATTTATGGCCTCAAGCCTCAAGTTTAGGGTTTGGTCGTCTGCATTTGGGCCTTTTGAAACTGAAGGTATTGAGCGAGCTGTGGTTCTTTTGGTGGAAGAGAAGGTGGAGCTTTAGAGAAAAGGGTCTGACTGGTAACGGAGACACCAGGCAGGTTCTGGCAAGTGGTCGCCTCCACGTGGATGAAAGATGGATGTAGATACCGTCTTAGATCGGTGGGCTGCTGTTTTAGAGTCTCGAGTTTGGAATTTGTCACCGTGTTGCTCGTCTGAAACCAGTGAGGTGCATCTGGGATCTCAGAACCTGTACGTGGTGATATCATGGATACCTGTAAATCAAAGCTTCGCCCTAAAACTACTTCATTGTTTATTTTAGTCGTAATGAAAAATAAATTAAAGGTTTTGAAACTAGAAATTAAGACCTCAAATTTATGAGGTACATTTTTACTGTGGAAACAAATCAAGTGAGAATTCGGCTCATTTTCTTTTAGATTTCTTTAGTCAGACTTGTCGTTACAACCAGTCGCCCCCTGCTGGCTGATGGAGGCAGTGCAGGTGTAAAGCACTTCAGCACTGGCTTCACTTTCCAGACTCAGAGGTCACGTCTGTCCATTACAGTCTGTGGGCTAATGAGTAGTAAATGCACAGAGAGCTTGCTTTAATCTTATTGGTCAACAATGTATAGAATCACTTGTCAAATCTGATTTAAAGAGTAAAAAGAAGGTGTGAAAAGTGTTTACTCCATTTGTGCACAGTTTTTTCAGTCCAACAACGTGATTGGTTGGATGTTTCCTGGTTCGACTGTTATAAAGCTGACGATTGTTTTTTTGGGAGAACTGTATGCAAACGCTACACAGCTGCCTCCCACTGATTTCTGTCCCGTGTTCTTTAATCTTTAATTTAGTCCACATCCTTCTATAGCAATCTAAAAACGCTGTGTGGTCATTGCTGTCAAAGTTAGCTTCCATAATTTGAGGTAAACTTCATAGTCAATCTTAGTAGGTAGTTTCATATATGTCCATATTTGACGAGTACAGTTGTGACTCGATAATCCGACACTAACCTTCTTTTCTGTCGGATAGCAAGGCTGTCGGATTGTCAAGACGGAGGTCCAGATACGAGGAGGGCTTGATGCTGGAAGGCTCATTAGTTGTTAATATTCATTGTTCATAGTTGTTATAATAGCTAGTGTATTGTTAGAAAACTACGCATCGCTGGATTTCACGCCGAACTGACTGTTGTGCTTATGCACGTTTTGGCCACTTCCACCCCGGGGCAGCGCTCCGATGGAATGGAACACACAGGCAGTATTTGGCTGCTGATGCCAGTTTAGTTAGCGCTCATAATTCTGTGTCCACCATCGACGGGGGAGTGGCAGATACGCTCCACCGTTACCATCCATGTTTACTTCCATAAACACTGAGCACGCTCGCTGCGTGTGACGTCGTCGTGTCCTCTTCTGCGCATGCGGGACACTTTTGGGTCGTATGAAGTTCACACAGCAGATCACATACAAGTCGCATTGAACTGGAAACGTGAAGGAAGTCACAAAAATCCTCATTGAGCATCAAGTCCTGCAGTGTGAACGTAGCCAATCTGTGGGATTGTTCAGTCAGATAATACGCCGTCATCCTGATTGGTGACATTAAATGTCATGTCGGAGTCAGAATCCAAGGCCGTTGGTATGTTAGGGCTGTTTTTATGGGTTCCATTCGTTTCTCCAAAAACCTGATAGCAAGGTTTTCGGATTGTTAAGGGTCGGATTATCAAGTCACGACTGTATATATGTATATATTGTGTACATATACAGATAACTAGCTTGTAATTGATCACAGCTGAAGGTCCTGTGGTGAGAATAGTCAGTAAACAAGCTGTGACCTGATTTAAAAGCTGCAACCTAACGCGTTCAGGAGCACAAAGAATGACGCCTGATTTTGAAGGCTCCTTTGAGAACTGCGTCCTTTTCCGCGCCCAGGCTCTTCTGACATTCGTTGCGTTCTTGTGGTGACTTTAGCCCCAAAATTGTAGTTTTAAATGTAAATGTTGGCTCATCTCCCTTCCAGTGTATGATAAAACATCAAAAACGTCCAAATTTTAAGCTTTCCTATGTCCTGATCGCTAACTTTAGATGTCGGGGTCGCTAGGTGGCGCTCTGACATGTGTGTTAACAGCTGATGGTAGGTTTTCACACAGTTAACAGTGATCAGTTCCACCTTGGCATCTTTGCCGGAGGCCTCGTCCTGGGACACAGCTACAGTCTGTGGACCAGCAGAACGTTAACTTGTTCACTGTGTCGATGCGAACACGCTGACGTTTAGCAGACACATTTGTTAATGTGTTCACCGTCTTAACTGTATCAGACATTTGGTCCTAAACCAGGATTGCAGTTCGTCCAGGCGGGACATGAATTTCAGTCCCTGATGTCATGACAGTTTATCCAGCAGTAATAATAATATTTAACTCAGAGCCACAGATGTTAACCTGCTGGTGGAGCTGCAGGAGAAGTCAGGATATCGGCAGCAGCAATAGGATTCAGCCTCTGAGTCACGAGTGTTTGTACAGATATCAAGAGAATACAGTAAAAATAGCTGAGATATTTCAGTCTGGACCAAAATGGTGAACCCAAAAATAGACCAAGTTTCATGTGTTTTCAAAGGAGAATCCAGTCGACTTTATAGTCAAACAACAGAGCTTATCGCCTTAAAAGGATACCGGGGGGTGAGACAAATATCTCAGTGTCTTCTTGCACACTCCTGCCAGAGACCGAGCGCAGCCAAGTTGTTTGTGTTTGTCTTTTCTTCCCCCTCCCTCGGCCGTCCTCGCTTCACGTGTGAGGCACGGTGCTGCCAGATTGTCTTGGCATGGGGTAGGACGGATTACAGTCACTCATTACCTCCTGCAGAATAGATTACTATTCCTCCGGTCTGCGGAGCCGGAGAGTGACGGAGGAAGCCACTGAAAACACTCAGCTGCAGTGCACTGAGACGTCACCGTGTGTGTGTGTGTGTGTGTGTGTGTGTGTGGTGAATATTGTGGTGTAATCCCAGGCTAGCTCGTTTGCTGAAAAGTGACATGAATTTGGACGGCGGCCCACTGTCCCCCTGCCTGTCTCACCTCTTCACTCACAGATGCTGTATTTGGGCGCACGCCGAGGCACGTGGACACAATGAGCTTTGTGATGCAGGATAAGTGAGGTCACAGACATCCCAGAATGCTCCAGCATAAGGTAATATTTACACATGAATAGATTCATCCACCGGCACCAAACTGCCATCAGGTTTGATGTCGATGAACGGTTTTAATCTGCACAACGTATAGAAGAGTGCAGCTGCTTATTGACACATCCAGCTTCACTGAATTATTGTGGAGCTGGAGACTTTGAAGTGGGTGTACACCATTCAGCCATAACATTAAAACCAATGTCATGTAGTTCGCCCTTGTGTCGCCAAAACAGCTCCGAGCCGTCGAGGCATTAACTCAGCGGGACCTTTAAAGGTGTCTTGAGGTACTGGGCACCAACAGCAGATCCTTTAAGTCCTGGAAGCTGCAAGGTGGAGCCTTTGACTAGTTCCAGCACATCCTACAGATGCTTGATTAGATTGAGAATTCGGCTGAGGCCACGTCAACACCCTGCACTCTGTCATGTTTCTCA